AGAGCAAGTTAGCATGTGGTAAGGAGGCCTTAGAGACAAGGACGCTGACAGCAGCTGAGAATTGGCATGACAGTGAAAGGGAAATCAATCGGTATTTATTAAGGGACTATTATGACCCAGGCCCTGTGCTAAGCACTGGGGATACAAAGAGGGGCAACAGACAGTCCCTGCCCTCAGGAAGCTTACGCTGTAATGAGGGAGACAACATGCAGACAAATATATACAAAGCAGCTTTATATAGGATAAATAGGAAATAATTAACAGAGGGAAGGCGCTAGAATTAAGGGGGTTAGGGAAGACTTCCTGTAGAAAATTGGATTTTTATTGGGACTTAAAGGAAGGCAGAGAGGTCAGTAGTCAGAATGGAGGAGAGAGAGTGTTCCAGGTATGGAGGACAGCCAGATAAAATGCCCTGAGTTGAAAGATGAAGTGTCTTGTTCATGGAACATTCAGGGAGCCTGCATCACTGCATCAAAGAGTATGCTTTGGGAAGTAAGCTGTAAAGAGACTGGAAAGTAGGAGGGACCAGGTTATAGAGGGCTTCGGATGCCAGCGGAGCATTTTGTATTTGATCCTGCAGTCAATGGGAACCACTGGAGTTTATTCAATAAGAGTGACTTGGTTGGACTATAGGAAAATCACTGTAGTTGGCGGAATGGAGGATGGAATGGCCTGGGGAAAGATTCGTGGCAGGTAGACCGATGAGCGAGCTTTGCAGTAGTCCAGTTGTGAGGTGATAAGGGCCTGCACCAGTGTGAGGGCAGTGTCAGAGGAGAGGAGGGGACTTACTGGAGAGATGTTGGAAAGGTGAACTTTGACAGATTGGCAACAGCTTGGACATGGGGAGTGAGAGATAGTGAGGAGTCCAGGATGGCACCTAGGATGTGAGGCTGAGAGACTGAGAGGATAGTGCTGCCCTTCATATTAATATGGAAGGTAGGAGATGCGTAGGGTTAGGAAGAAAGATGATGTGTTCAGTTTTGGATGTATTGAACTTAAGATGTCTATTGAGCATCCCATTGGAGATTCATTTTGTAGTTGAAGATATGAGATTAGAGGTCAGCAGAGAGATGGGGGCAGGAAAGGTAGATTTGAGAATGATCAGCACAGAGATGGTCTTGAAATCCACCAGAGTTGATGAGATCGTGAAGTGAAGCAGTATACCTGGAGAAGAGAAGAGGGCTTTGCAATTAGAGGGCGTGCTCTGAATGAGGATCCAGTAAAGGAAACAGAAGAGGAGTGGTCAGAGAGGTAGGAGGAGGACTGGGAGAGAGTATCAGGAGGGAAAGAGTGTTCATTAGCATCAGAGGCTTCAGAGAGGTCAAGGAGAAGGCCTGAGAAAAGGTCATTGGGTTTGGCAGCTGAGCGATCAGTGGTAACTTTGGAGAGTGGAATGATGAGGTGGGAAGCCAAATTGTAAGGGTCTGAGAAGAAAGCAAGAGGAGAGAAAGTGGAGGCACCTGTTGTAGGTGGCTTTTTCCAGGAGTTTAGCTAGAAGGGCAGAAGAGATATAGTATGACAGTGAGGGTTTTTTTTTTCCAGAATAGGGCAGACATGGGCATGTATGTGGGCAGCAGGGAAGTAGCCAATAGAGAGGAAGAGATTGAAAATCTCTCAGAATAGGGATGATAAAGGGGTGATCTATTGGAGGGGACAGGGTGGATGGGGACCACTTGAACAGGAGGGGATAGCCTTGGTAAGGAGTAAGGCCACTTCACCATATGAGACAGTGGTGAAGGAGGAGAGCGCAGGAGAAGCCCCTGACTGAAGTTCAGAAGAGCTTCTGTGGAGGGTGGGAGAGTGAGCTGATAAGGGGAATACAGTAGGATTGCCTGGATGCAGTGAGGGCCCAGGTGAGGTTGTGTGTAACACCAATTTGTAGTGGGCCCCGTTGGAATGGTGGTTTGATTTTCTCCATCTATATTCAGCAGCGTGTGTGTAGGCATAAAGGTGTTGAATGAGGGCAGTGACCAAGGCTGAGACTGGTTGGGTGTATAGAAGGAGGATATAAATGATATGAGGGGGCTGGAGATTCAAGAGACGAGGCCAGTGTGGAGTTGAATTGGTTCACCAAGGGGTCAAGATGGGGAAAGGGAAGAGAGTGGCTAGTGCAGGAGTTTAGAGGGCTTATGGTGGTTATAGTAGAGATAAAGAATAGGATTATGTAAGAGAAGGCAGAGGTGTAAAGCCAATATATCACGGTCTTTGTTCAGTCATCTTCAGTAATGTCTGACCCTTCATGACGCCAGTTGGGGTTTTCTTGGCAAAGATACTGAAGTGGTTTGCCATTTCCTTCTCCAGGGAAGTGTTGAGTGTGAGTTAAAGGTGATAAGGATTGACACAGAATGCTTGGAATCAATGATTGTCTAAGGGAGGCTTGGAACAGGTTGACTTGGGAGTATTTTATTTCATCTGTTTCTTCCCACACTCTAGCTACTTCCTAAAAACAAAGTGAGGGTTTTAACACTTGAGCTGAACACACCTGCTTCCTAAAGAAGATAAGGAACAAGGTGACCAAATTGAAAGTGTGAGTTGAGAAAATAAGCCCTGGTAGTGGCATGTGTAGGATGGTGCTGGAATTTGACCAGGAGGATGCATTAATGGAGAAGGATAAAGACCTGGGTTGACATTTTCTGAATAATACCGTGTTTTAGTGAATGCATACTTACCTTGTTTCATTATTTGGTGAGAGGATGTTTAAAGTCACAGCTCTCATTGACTTTGGCTTTGGATCCAGACCTTTTTTTTTGCCAGAGTTATGGTCGGTCTGGGTGGGAGGAGCCAGCAGTAGTTTCTATAGACTGAGGCAAGATAGGATGTCAGGGGAGATGGGCAAGAAGAAACTATAGGGAAAACGTTTCCCAGTTTTCAGTCAATTATGTTCTTGTATCTCTAGTTAGAAATAATGAAAACAAACACATTTCATAGTTGAATTATGGAGATTCAGTATTTGGTTGAACTTTCTAAAATGATAGAAAGATAATTTTGAAGAAAGCCTCTTTCATTTGTTTATAGTGCCTTACGGTTGCCGGCCCCTTGTCAGAACATTTTCACGTCCATCTGTTTGGTCCTCACAGCAGGTCTGTGGGCTGCCATTCCAGCTCTCCCTAGGCTGAGCTGTGTGGATTGTGGGTGAAGGAGGGCATACTTCCCTAACCTTCTCTCTCCAGCCAGTCCCAGTGTAAGCTTCCTATCACATACTGCCATTCTACTTGCCCATCTTGCCATCTGGGCACTCATGTTGGGCCAGGGCCCCAGGCAGTGGTTCTTATCTTGGATTGCATGAACTTGTTTTTAAAGCATTTTGATAACTGTCTTTTAATATTGCTGGTTTCTTTTGTAATCTTATGTATTTTATGGATTTAAAAATATGATTCTGAGAAGAGGCCCATCAGTTTCACCAGACTGCCAAAGAAAAGGGTCCATGACACAGGAAGGTTAAGAACCCTTGCTTATAAAATAACTTGAGATTTGGGTTGCAGAATGACAACTGGCAGAGGAGGATGAGAGATCTCCAAATGTCACTCACTTTAGCCGGCAGGATTGCAGGCATACTCTATCTGTTATTTCAGCTGGTGTGTATTGCTGTAGGGTTTTTGGTCTTCCCTGATTGACTCTCCAGCACCCTCCAGGAGCATGTCAATGCCCTTATCTCCTCTCAGGTCCCCAGCTGTATCCCAGCCCACCCCTAGAGCAACAGGGGACCTTTGCCTCCTTCTCGAGTCCCATACAGTAATTCCTCTCTGCATCTTTTTAGGACTAGGGACCCTCGCAGTCATCAAGTCTAACCCCCTCATTTTAGAGATGAGGAAACAGATCCAGAGAGGGGAACAGGCATGAAGTGTTTGAGGTGGGATTTGGTCTTCCTGGTCTTCCAGCACTTTTATCTGCTCAACCATATTGCTGCTGTCGACTGGTTTCTCCTCTTCTGTCCCACAAGGTGAGGAATCTCTTCTTTCTGAAGGCTACCCTCTCAATTTGTGCTCTAAATTCCGTGCCATCTTGTTTCCTCTGTCAAGGATTGTTCACCATTTTTGTGTCATGGACCTCTTTAGCAGTCAGGTGAAGCCAATGAGCTTCTCAGAATTGTGTTTTTAAATGGATAAAATAAACACATAGAGTTACATATGAAACCAATTCTATTGAAATACAGATATAAAAATGTTTTTCAAACAAGTTCATGGACCCTAGGTTAAGAACCCCTGCTTTAGGGGCAGCTAGGTGGTGCAGTGGATAGAGCACTGGCTCTAAAGTCAGGAGGACCCAAGTTCAAATACGGCCTCAGACCAAACACTTGACGCTTACTAGCTGTGTGACCCTGGGCAAGTCACTTAACCCCAATTGCCGAAAAAAGAAAAAAAAAGAACCCCTGCTTTAGATGTATGTCCCATCAGTCATTCCATTTCCTTCCCCCACTTCTTATCCCAAGCTTTAGACTTTCCCTCTGCTGGTTCCTTCCCTGAGGCTTGTGAACATGCCTAGGTCTCTGCCCCATGTGACCTTCATTTATCCTTGCTATTTCCTCAAGTTATTGTCCTGTGTTTTTACTGCCTTTCATTGCCACAATCCTGAGAAGAAAACCCACTTCTTATTCCTTACATATCCCAACTGGTGGAAAGTGAAACGGATCCATGTTTTATTTAAAAAGTTAATTTTAAAAAAAAATCAAAGAATATCCGAGTGCCTTCTATGTATACAAGACAAATACACAAAGTAACCAGACTTGTTGTTATCCATCATCAAATTTATTAAATAACTTTACTGACCTACGCAGACGTTACATTTAACAAGTTATAATTTAATAAATAATGTTTGAGATGATAACTTAAAGTAGTTTTCGAGCCCGTAGGGCTTACAGTTAGGATCATAAGATCTGTTGTGTTCATTATCTGACAACTAAGGCCAATTGCAGTAAAAGATAGTAAACTATACATTCAGAAATAAATTATAAAATTTAAATATTTAAATAAATAACTTCACCTAGACAATTAGGTAAGTAATCATTGAGTTAGTGCTCTGAGTTTTCGGGAGAAGGAAACAAATTCTTTAAAAAATCCTTCGATCTTCATTTTGGTGGCATAATGACACTGGGTTGTTTCTGTTCCCTAAAACAAAAAAAACAAGGAAATGCCATGTGACTCCTTAAAAATTACCTTTAAATGGGCTTCTCGTTTAGGAGAGCAGACCCTACCCAATCCAGAACGGTTTCTTTTCAAACACTGAGCATTCTTACTTCAGGACCTTAAGTCTCTGTGGCTTTTGTGGTGCGCACATGCTTTCTCCTGAAGGGCATCACAACCCCTTACAACGCAGTAGACAGTCTTTGAGAGTTAAAACTGCCCCCCTCCCCCATTCATCCACCTGCAGCTGACGTGGTGAGGAATCTGTCCCAACGACAGTGGACAGGAGACGCACAGACAGACCGACACTGCACACGTTCAGGCCCTGGAGTTACGGTGGTAGACCACCGAGCAAAAGCCTAACCACCTGATTTAGGGCGGATTTGAGGGCAAGGAAGGGCAGTGCTCAGCTGCTTCTGTACCACTGCTCCCTTATCCACTAGTCCAACACAATCCCTAGAATTCCTGACCTCTGCAAGATGTACTACCCAGTACTGACTGTACAGACCATGCTGCCTGCTTTGCTCAAAAGAAAGACTTTATTCCTGCAATAGAGTTAGCCACCAAGCTGAGAAGGAAAACCTTGGTCCACAGTGGTATGTGAAGGAAAGGTTATAGCCAGTTACTAAGCTAGGAACACTACCTTAGAGGAACCAAAAGTGATATAATAATAAAGTGGATGGAACTTATTTTTTTCAAGTGATACAATAATAAAGTGGATGGAACTTATTTTTTTCAAGTGATACAATAATAAAGTGGATAGAACTTATTTTTTTTAAAAAATAAAGTGAATAGAACTTAGTGGATAGAATTTAAGAATGTGGTCCAATAAACCCACTGGATCTTTTTTTTTTCAGACTAATTGCTATTTAATTATATACCGTACCATTATATACTCATCCATACTGAATTAAATTTTATTAGGTTTGGCCCAATGAGTGGGCATCAAAATCTTTTTAGATTATAATTCTCACATCTAGTAGTTAACTGTCCTTCCTGCCTTTGTATCATTTAATGAGTATAGCATCTATGGTTTTCTCCAAGTCAGTGATAAAAATATTAAATAGCCCAGGGCTAAGCTTAGATCCCTGGGTTATCTACTAAATGATGCTTCCCTTTTATGTAAAAGGACCTTAGGATCCTGGAAGTATTACTGGGAAAAGAAATTATGTTGAAACCATATTTATGTGGTCTGTAGGTGACTTGGATTCTTTGTTGGGCAACCTCTGTGCAATGTAAGACAGCTGATGTCAGTCTCTGATAAATAGTTTGGGGTGGAAAAGATTTAAACTGTTGAGTAAGATTAAATTTGTCTATTTTCCCTGAATTTTCATTTTTGAGTTGGATTATCCCTGACTAGAGGTGGTTAGGTGATGCTGTAGATAGAGTGCTGGGCCTGGACTCAGGAAAACTCAATTTCCTGGATTCAAATCCAGCCTCAGACACTTCCTAGCTGTGTGACCCTGGTCAAGTCACTTACCCCTGTTTGCCCTAGTTTCCTCATCTCTAAAGTGAGTTGGAGAAGGAAATGGCAAACCACTCCAGTATCTTTGCCAAGAAAACCCCAGATAGGGTCATGAAGAGTCTGACGTGACTGAACAATAGACAAAGATTATCCTTGACCTTCCTTATGGTAGATATTGAAAATGGCCTGTATTCTCCACAGTGCTCAGGATGGTGTTACTATTGGTGTAGGAGTTAAAGCTGGTTAGAACTCAGCAAATCATTGAGAGCTCCCCAATATAATGTGTGGGAGGGGACCCTATATTTTATACTTCAAGCCCATCAACCAGAACCTAAATGCCCCAAATATAATGTCACTTCCAAGATCTCTCGTCAAAAAAGTGACATTAAGTGGTTAATTTTAAACATGGGTGTGATAGTCAAATGCATAGGTAGTATGTCCCCAAACACCAGAAGGGTGAATACCTCTTAATCCTGTATCATAGCACTAGTCTACACTGTTGTTAATCTTCTGGTTCTTTAGGATATAGTATCTTTTCTCTTGCATTAAGTTTCCAAGAAATAAAAAATAATAATGTCCTTACCGTTAAGCTGTTAACTGTCTCATTAATGTTGTTGATATGTTCCTGAATAGTCTGAGCATCTTTTGATTCATATTTCAATGCGCCAACCACAGGGTTCAGTTCTTTAGTGAAACACTGCAGATCTGACATGCTACTGGTCTGGAGTCAAAAGAGTAAGAGTCATTTTCACTTTAACTTTTTTTGTTTTTTAAGTTGTACATCACAAGTTGAGATTCTGTAAGCCCAGAGAGGGAAAAGCTGTGGTATGGAGAATTATCCTTATCCCCTCGCCAGAGGAGCAGGGTAGGGCAGGTTTTCTCCCTTCCAAACCCTGAAGATTGATTGTAGTATAGGAATTAGACTGGTTTTGTTTGCAGTCTTATATATAACTATGATTGTGTCACACATAATCGAGTGTTAAGTATTTGTTTCTTTGTTTTTATTGCTGCATTTTTCTCCAGCCCCATCCTCAAAATACATCATATGTGAAAGATTCTGAAATAACTTACTTGCTTTAAGCCTTACATTCAACTTTCTGTTAACACTAATAGTCTTACATTTACGTAGTGCCTTGTAGTTTACAAAGCACTTGCACACGTAAGAGGCTTTTAGGTGGCACAGTGGATAGAGTGTTGAGGTCAGGAAGACCTAAATTAAAATCCAACCTCAGACACTTATTAACTGTGTGACCTGGGGCAAGTCACTTAACCTGTGTCTTCCTCAGTTTCCTCTTCTGAAGAATGAGGATAATACTAGCATCTGCCTGTCAGGTTTGTTGGGAGGATAAAAACTGTAATGATATCTGGAAATTGTTTTGCAAAGCTTAAAGCATTACATAAATGCTACATACACACATGTACATATATATACACTAGCATTTCATTTGTCTACGTATCTATGTATTGCTCTAAATCTGTATCTAGTTCCAGACAGCAACTGTGAATTGGACAAGGGTTGTTCTCCGCTTCTCTCTGTCTCTGTCTCTCTTCCTCTCTGTCTCGCTCTCTCTGTTTCCCTCTCTCTAAATAAGGAAGTTAACTTAGAGAGCTTAAGTGACTGATTAAATAAAGGTCACAAATGTAGTTAACATCGGAGATGAGAGCAGAACCCCAGTCTTCTGACTGCTAGGTTGGTTCTTTCTTTTATGAGAAGGCAACAACAACAATAATAATAAAAGCTAACATTTATAAAGTGGTTTACCTACGTTGTTGTGTCTGACCCTCACTACTTATGAGGGAGATGTGATTACTATTGCCTTTTTAAAGATGGGAAAACAGGGGCAGCTAGGTGACGCAGTGGATAGAGCACCAACCCTGGATTCAGGAAGACCTGAGTTCAGATCCGGCCTCGGACACATAACGCTTACTAGCTGTTTAGCTCTGGGCAAGTCATTTAACCCTAATTGCTTCACAACCCTCCCAAAGAAAAGAATTGAGGAAAAAATGTTATCACTCAAATACTCAGGACTTAGGATATAGTATATTCATGTCACAATCATATAAATTGATTTTTTAAAAAATCTGAGAAACTAACTGAAAGAGGTTGATTGACCTGCCCAGGGACCCATCATGCTAGTTAGAATAAGAGGCAGGATTGGAACTCAGGTCTTCCTGACAGTCCAGTGCTCTCTATGTTTCAGGTTGTTAAAATGATTCGCTTTTTAACCAACTAGACTGGGGCCCAGAAAAACAAAACTTTAAGACTTAGAAATCGTGTGGCATCTTAAACCCTAGAAGGACAAAGTCTTAACAAACCTGCTCTCAACTGTTAGCTTACCAGATACCACCTCCACCTCCTCCTTTAATGAAAGAGTTTGGTGTGTCTACCACACCCGGGCGTGTGCTGTTGGGGGAGGACCCTCCTGGCTCTGGGTGCTCTCTAGTATTAGAGGCTTAGAAAAAGTGCCTCTCTGAATCAGCGGAGAGAGTGTCCTCACCTGGGAGTTCTCAAGAACGTTTGCTGTCTCCACACAGAATGAGAATCGGGCGGTTTCTATGTTTAAAGTTCACTGTGAAGCATTGCCATTTGTGTGATAAAATGATTATCTACGAATATGTATGTATACAGATAGATCGTAGAGATCTGAAAGTCTGTCATTTCATTGGTGTGGGTAATACCGCCCTGAAGGAAACCCCTTCCACTAATACAGATCAGCAATCTTTTCTAAGGTATGATTGGCCCAGAGTTACACAAGCTGTGTGTGTTGCAGGCTGATTTTACTCTATGTTCCTGACCCTGTTGGGCGGGGTGGGTGTTGACTACACCTGGTCACCCCTGAGTAATAATGGTAACAGCTGATGCTTATCCAGGACTTTAAAGCTTGCCACACACTTAACACATCTGATCTCATTTGACCCTTGGGTCCGATACAGTGCTATAGTCAATATTGATTTCCAGTTTTGAAGAAATGTTTTTAAGCATTTATGAAATCTAAAACAACATAGTTATCTAATAGAAAACAAAACACTGCTCCAAAAGAAAAGTAGATGTTCTTTCTCATTTTCTTCTTCAGTTTATGTGGGATGGGGGAAGGGTATAGGTAATTGTTATCTGTCTACCCAAATACATATAACCCAGATTTTATTGTTTTGTACTTAGAAAGTACAGGATAATTTTTTTTAACACATTCCCCTAGAGCTGACTTAAATCTTGGATGATAAAGTCATCAGATAATAGCTTTGCAAAAAATTCTACTTCCTAATGATCTTAAATTGAAAATGTCCAAAATTTCGTATGGAAAATGTTACTTACATTACTTGGGATGTAGAGTTCATATTTCTTCATCCTTTCTGATACAGTCTAAGGAAGTAAAAATGTCATTAATAAAATGAACATCCCATGAGAATGAATTCAGTACAATGTTTTTAGGTCTTAAAAACAGCGAGATACTTACCTTGAGTTTTTGTTGGACCTCCATTAAGTCACGTAGTAAGTACTCCAGCACGGTGGTGGGAGGAGGCAATGTCGGAGCCCCATTGGCAAGCAGAAGAAGAGTTAGTGCAATACAGGACAAGAGCAGACCTTGTTCATTGTGTCAGGAGCTGAGTAACTTCAGGTTACTCTGCGTAGTGATTAGAGGGTTGAATGGAAGCCCGTAAACCAGAGGGACAATTTATATCGTTAATTCTGGAAAAAGTATCCTGGGGGTGTTAAAGAATTTTACATATTACACATTTTCAAAGGCCTTTCTTTACCTGTGTGGCAAGAATCATCACCTTTCATTTTCCTCTTCTGATGACTCTTTGGAATTTCTTTTAACCCTCGTAAGCACTGACTGAATGGATGCGGTGAAATCCCTCTTGGTTACTGTAGCCCACACTAAGTGGGCTACTTAGCTGCATTTGAAGTTTTCTGCATGAACCAATTTTTCCTCTTCTTTCATTAAAGGGGTTACAGAGGTTGCTCATGAAAATTTTCTCTTTGTCATAAAACCATATCGAGCAGCACCTTTCAGTGGACATGTGCAGGGGGAGAAATATAAACAGATAAACAAAATAGAATTTTAGATTTGTTGATTAAACAGGAAGAATATTGGTTTCCTGTTTCAGGGTGGTTTTGCCTTTCTTCTCCTACAAAGACTGAGCTAATGCCTACAAAGTGATGTGAGCAGAAATGACTTGTTTTACACAGTCAGCCGGGGAAATAGTGGTATTTCAATCTATAAACTAAGCATCGTATAAATGTGATTCAGTTAAGCCAGTTAATTGAAGAGCATGCTTTCTTGAATTCTACTTACTGTAAATATGTAGAAACTCCATTTAAGTAAGATAGACTCATAGCTGAAATGTTCCTCAGAGGTCATCTGGTCCAGCTCCCACCTAGACATAGATGATCTGCTGCATGCCAGCTGTGTGTCCTTGGGTTCTACACATAAAGTGTCAAACTCAGATAGAAATGGAGGTCATAAATCCACACATGGGCAGCAGCTAAATGGCGCAGTGGACAGAGTGCTGGGCCTGGAGTCAGGAAGACCTGAGTTCAAATCCAGCCTTAGACACATGCTAGCTGTGTGACACTAGGCTAGTCACTTCACCCTGGTGGTCTCAGTTTCCTCATCTGTAAAAATTGCTGGAGAAGGAAATGGCAAACCACCCCAGTATCTCTGCCAAGAAAACCTCAAAAGGGGCGTGAAGAGTCGGACACAACTGAAAAATGACTGAACAAGAGCTCACATAAGGAGCCCTGGGTCCCATATTGACTTAGTTTTATTTTATTATTTTATTTTTTTGTGAGGCAGTCGGGGTTAAGTGACTTGCCCAAGGTCACACAGCTAGTAAGTGTCAAGTGTCTGTGGCTGGATTTGAACTCAGGTCCTCCACATTTGAACTCAGGTCTTCCTGACTCCAAGGCTGGAATTCTATCCACTGCGCCACCTAGCTGCCCCCTTGACTTAGTTTTAAAATGTAATGTTATCTAGGTTTTATTGTATTTTCCTCTATTTTGTTAAATATTTCCCAAATACTTATTATTTTTTCTTTTTTAAATTAATTTATTTTGCTTTATCAACAATCACTTCCATATGCTTTTGAGTTGAAAATTTTTCTCCCCCTTCCTCCCCCCCACCCTCCCCAAGAAGGCGCACAATCTGACATAGGCTTTACATTTACGTACCCATTAAACATTTTCACATTAGTGAAGTTGTAAGTAAAAATTAAAACCAATAGGAGGAACCATCAGAAAGATGAAACAAAACTCAACAGCAGGTAAAAATAAGTGATAGCGATTTGACTTCCATAGTTCTTTCTTTGGATGTGGACAGCATTTTCCATCCCGAGGGCCTCTGGAGATGTCTTAGATCCTCGTAATGCTGAGAAGGGCTCAGTTTAACAATCTTAGTCATTGCATAACGTGGCTGCTATTGTGTACAAAGTCCTCTTGGTTCTGCTCACTTCACTCAGCATCAGACCATATAAGTCTTTCCAGGTTTTTCTGAAGTCAGCCTGTTCATCATTTCTTATAGCACCATAGTATTCCATTACATTCATATACTACAGCTTGCTCAGCCATTCCCCAATGGATGGGCATCCTCTCAATTTTCAGTTCTTTGCCACCCAAATACATTTTAAATGTGTTCAAACTACACAGGAATGTTATGTTTGACCCTTCTATTCTAGGCACTTTAAGATTATTAAGTTGAACAAGAGGAGTTGATGGAGGGGGGCTCTTCACTGGGGAGTACGCCTTAGTGCCTCTGTAGGAGTTGGGTCCATTTCCATGCAATAGGGTCTCATCAAGTTTTTTCTTTTTTTCTTGCCAGAATTCATTACTATACTCATTATTCACATTTGTGTGATTTATAAGGTACTTTACATTATACAAAGCCCTTTCTCATTAAAGCTCAGTGAAGTGGGTACTGCAAAGGATAGTATTCTCATGAGAGGCTCGTGGAAGGGTATTTTAGCTACAGCAAGGGCTTATGTAGCACAAGAAAAAAATACCTCTCAGAGCCTGAGCCATATGACCAGAGAGTAATTTAGGTTGGGGAGAGAGGTGATAATAGCTAACTCTTTGAGATTTACGAAACGCTTTACATATGTAAAGTCATCTGATCCTCCCAACGACTCTCTGAGATTGGTGCTATTTTTAACCCATATTTTACAGATAGGGAAACTGAGGCTGATATGTTATGACTTGCCCAGGGTCACACAGCTAGAAAATGTCTCAGGCAGGATTAGAATTCAGGTCCTGATTCCAAGTCTAAGAGATATTTATTGTGCCAGCTGCCTGATCAGTAATACCACTGAGCTCTTTTATTTAAATCTATCCCATCTATTTGCCTATCAGTCTCTGTCATCTCTCTGTCTATATATCTATTTGCCATACAGTTTCAGGGGAAGGACATAGGACTTAGAGTCAAAGAAGCTATGTCCAAGTCTTGGTTCTCCTATTATTTTCCTGGGTGACCTTGAACAGATCCCTTCTCTGAGTCTCAGTTTCCTTATCTGTAAAAGGGGATTGGAAAAGGGATTCCTAATATATGCACTACCCACCTTGGGAGGTGATTGTCAGGAAAGTACTTTGTAAAATCCTATACAGAGTGAACTATTATTTTTATAATTAATACAAAATTACCATTACAAATCTTTGTCAAGAATCATAGCTCCTCAGGTGGGGATATGGATGAAGGGGGTGATGAAAAAGGACTTATGGAGAATGAAGGCATCAAAGGGCCGATTCTATGACTGCTCTTCTGGCTAGCAGAAAATACAAGCTCATCTTGGACCTTCCAGGGCTAAACCACAAGGTTCGTCTTGTGTGGAGGGAAAGGGCTGCTTAATCCTCCTCGCATCAGCTTTGTGATAGCGGGCTGAGGAACTCATGGGCTCATCCTGCCATTTTTAGCTCAGACAATCACCCTTCCAGAGTGGAAAAATGAAGGCCCACACACTTTTCTGTGTGGGAGCCTTTCCAATGAGACCTTTGATGTGCTCACAGAGTCTTTGTCTTCAAAATTCCATAACTCTTTCCAGTCAAGATAGGGGAAGGCCCCAAAGAGTCCAGCCTCGTTTCTGGGACCCAGTGCCCATCGGTCTCCACTGCTGGGCAGCTGGCACAACCTACCTGTGCGGAAGGCAGCTGAATGGTTTCGTTTTTGAAACGCTGAAGGAGATGCTGCTCTTTCTGACATACTTTCGCTTTTTACCTTGACTCTGACACAGAGGCTGCCTTCTGGCTGCGGTGGTTATGGTGCCAGTGTACTCTATTAACCACGACAAGAGTGACGTGCCTCCTACTTTCTCTTTGAAGATGGAGTGAGTGTCACCCAATGAAAACTGACCTGGGGTAGCCTTTCCTAGTTCTGTGGTAGCTTTCCTGATCCTTCATCCGAAGCCTCTAGTTACTGTGCTCAGTGCTCGCTCTGTAGGCACTTGGGGACATTTGTTGGGGTGTTCTCTCTAGCCCCCTCCTCGGTTGATATTGTCACTTCCTAGACACAGATCTTTAATATGTTTCTTATTTTGATTTATAATAATCCCATTGCTTTCTGAGGAAAGGAGAAATATTTCATTTAACTCAATATATCAAGTATTTCTTAAGAGCCTCCTATTGTTCCAGTCCCCTGGGATAGGGAGACAAAATTGAATGAGATAATTACCCTCAGGGGTGGAGGGGGGGGGGAAGGATATATCACATACAATCAGCTCTCTGGGATTTCTAGGAGGGAGGATGCACCCAGCTGGGACTTATCAGATAAGTCTTAGAGATTTGGCCTCATACTTAGACAGGTGAAGTCACTTGCTCATAATCACTCATCTTGTGTGGGAAGTGGCATTTGAACCCAGATCTTTCTGACTCCAAGGCCAGCATTCTGTATCCACTAATCAATGCGGCTGATGTGACGGATAATAGAAGTCTGGACTGTTGTGTCTTCAAAGGATATGCTTTCGTGCTTTGGGTAACAGTAATAATAAATATTTACATCTCACTTTCTATATGTCAGGCACTTTGATAAGCCCTTTACAAATATCATCTCACTTGATTCTCACAAGAACCCTGCAAGGTAGGTGCTATTATCCCCATTTTACAGATGGGGAAACCAAGGTTAAGTGATTTGTCCAGTGTTTACTGATTTCTGAGGTGTAAGCGCTCACTCTGAAAACTGAACAATTAGCTCTTCTGATCCAGCACACCCTTGCATATATTATATACATATACGTCGAGGATATCAGAGAAAGGTACAGCTGGGGGGAGGTGAACCAGTCATGGAGCGAGAGTGCGAGAAAACCAGCAGAGAGTCCATGAGTTTGGCAGGTATGCGGTAGCAAGGGCTCTCTTGGCGCATCAAGCAAGACCTCGGGGAGGCCTTACAAGAGGGCGTAGACATTGGCGCAGGTCAAGTATCATCTACATGAAGCCCTCTCTAATCCCCCCAAACTCTAGTCCCTCCTCTCCCAAATCCCCTTCTGTTTTGCTAGTTTGTATATGTTTGAGTTTAGGCTGCATAGATTTTTATTTGGACTTGTCTCTTCCGTTAGAATGTAAGGTTCTGGCGAGGAGAGATTGTTTCGTTCTTTGTCCTTGTGTCCCCAGAGCCTAACACAGCAGGCACTTAATAAATGCTCGGTAATGGCTAGATGATGATTTCACACCATGGAATGGGGCGGTTGGGCTGTGCTCTGTGCTCTAGGAAGGAATCACCCACATAGGTGAGATCGTAGAGCCGTCAACCCAGCATACGCCGAAGGACTTTTATTAAGTTATGACAAAAGGATTATGTGATTTTACTGGTCACGTGTCTCCTCATCGCATACATCAGTGGTCCTGGGACACTAGACTCAGTCTATTGATGGAAATGTTTGAGGCTTTTCTGCCAGAAAGATCTCTGTTGGCACAGCCTTTAAAACCCTGGGGAGACCTCCGTGCCACAAAGCTGTGTTGGCGTAGACTTTGGTAGGGCCTTCTTTATCATCTTTTTTTTTTTTTGGTTAGGCAATGGTTAAGTGACTTGCCCAGGGTCACACAGCTATTTTAGTGTTATATGTCTGAGGCTGGATTTGAACTTGGGTCCTCCTGACTCCAGGGCTGGTGCTCTAACCACTGCGCCCCCCCCTTTATCATCTTTTAAAAATTTTTATGGGAATGACCCATCTCAGGGGTCTGCTGTAGGAAAATACAAGAGGGAAACAGGAAAGCTTTCGCAAACCATTTTGTACAGCAGACTGTTAACTGAGCCGTGACTGAAGGTCAAGAGAAAGAGTACAAGACTGTTGTTTCTGTTGCTCGTTACAGAAACTATTTGGCTCGGTACAGCAAAATGTGGCTTTCCAATAAGTTGTCTTAAGCATGTGTTAAAATGATGCATGATTTAAAAAATGTAGCTACAGCAATCCTCTGACTATTAACATCAAAGTAGCCATAAAAAAGGGGAACGGTAGGGTTTCCCAGGATGTTTACTATTGTCATGGGGAATGCTTTACACAGGGCTCAGATGGGAGAGGTACTCCCTATAGATGGGGAGGTGGCCAGTTCCCCTTTGGAGATGACATTGTATGGATTGTATCAAACCCAGAACGTCGGGAGGCACCTCTAAGAGCTCCATGATGGCTATTGGGCATGCCATAGATGGCATGCAGTTGTCTACACGTCAGTACCGTATGTGGAATGAGCCCTGAAGATTGACAGTGACTTGAACCCAGTCGATCCTTGGTACAAAAATATGCATGAATGCATGCATGTCTGGGAATAACCAGAATTCCAGTTTGTTCACTCGGAAGAGGAGCTGATACCCTAGTCTTCACTACCGATTCTGCTTTATCACTCCAATCAGGAGAATAAAAAGTACAAATAATCAGAAAAAATAGCCAGCTTTTTAACATGGTTTTTCTGCCAGTGATGCCATGTGGCTGGAAACTCTGTCACACCACAGTTGTCCCAAAGGTCAGTGGTGGGGTGCTTAGGGTCAGAAGTTTACTGGCCCTTATTTTCAGCAGTGACCTAAGTAAAGAAGTGGCACCAGGCACGTATGTATCAGAGGAAAAACGGGTTTCACGGAGGAGATGGGCTGGTCGTCTGGTGAGAGTGAGAGATAATAGATGCACAGTGTGAATGAAAGATAATAGATACACAGCGTGAGTACCATCCCTTCTGCTATCCTCTTTTCCCCCAAATAGTTGCAAAATCCATTCTTCGAGTTCCTTGCCAAGCACAGCTCCTTTGAATGTTTGTTTCCCGTAACTTCTGCATTCATCTGTCATTAATCTGCTTCTCAGCAAATACTTCTTACTATGTGCCAGGCACTGTGTTGGACACTGGAGTTACAAGGAAAGACAAAAACAGACCCTGCTGTCCGGGAGCTTACCTTCGAAAGGGAGACACCATGTAAATAACCAGAAGCCTGTGAAGCAGAGTAGAGAGAAGGCACAGTGTCAGAAGGCTCTGCAGCTGCGGGGTGGGGAGGGAACCAGGAAAGACCACCTGCAGAAGGTGGGGTGTGAGCTGAGTCAGGAAGGAAGTCGGGGGAGCTACGAGGTGGCAGTGAGGGGGGAGAGCGTTCCAGGCAGGGGGGACAGCTAGTGCACAGCTGCTGAGAGGGGAGGTAGAATGACCCATCTGAGGAGCTGCGAGAAGGCTGGCTGTGCTGCCCCGTAAGTGTGAGAAGACTGAAAAGGGGAGCCTGGAGGCTGTGATGTAAGTTCCAAACAGAGGAACTGACCTTTGCTCCTGTAGGTCACGGGGAGCCCCTGGAGCTCATTGAGTTGGGACAAGGTCAGAGGTAACATTTACAGAAAGTCACTCTGGCTGCCAAAAGGAGGGTGGATTGGAGTGGGGAGAGACTGGAGGCAGAAAGGCTAGTTAGAAGTTTTGACCGTCATCCAGGTGAGAGGGGATGAGGGTCTGAACTGGCTGGATGGGTGCAGAGAAAGGAACGTAGACAAGAGGTGTAAGGGGAGAGAGAACTTGTGGCGATGGATTGGATTTGGGGGGTCATGAGTGAGAGGAAGGAGGTGAAGATGGCACCTGGGTTGTAAGGCTGGGTGATGGGGAGGATGGTGCTACCATTGACAGTAAGGGGGTACCAGGAAAGAAGGGTGGGTTTGGGGGGAAATGTTATGTACGTGTTGAGTTTGAGATGCCTGTGGGATCCAGTCTGAGGCGTGTAAAAGGCAGTTGATCATGAGAGACTGGAGTGGAGGATACATGGTAGGGATGTTCATGTATATGTGTATGCATGTGCACAAACGCATGTAAGATGTGTTGTCTTGCACGTGCATATCTACATACACATGCACGTACACACAATGAACATATATGTTGCGTGTGCATGTATGTGTGTGTGTGTGTCTGCCTGCCTTGCTATAGATATAGGTAGATTTACACATGCACACTTCTGTGTGTGTATGCATACCAGGAAGCCACATCAATCTGGCTAAAGGCCATCAGGAAACTGTCTTGAGCCGTAGCTCTCTGATCCAGTCAAACCTTAGCTCCCTGACTTTTTAGGGAAAGAATTTACCCAGCCTCCAAGGCAGAAAGAGGCAGCAGCGCTAGGGTCTAGTGACCCAACATTGCATCCTTCCTAACCCTTTGACATGAAAGGTTCACAGAATCTTTTTTTCTGAACCATCTACAAGTCTAGGGTCTATGTCAGATTCGTTCTGGGATAGAAAGTGGTCACTTCCTCAAGGAAATCCTCTCTTCCTCTTCATCAGCACTGTCACCACCCTAATTCAGGACCTTATCACTTGTCACATGAACTCATGTAAACCTCCCATCTGGCCTCCCTGGCTCCAGGTGCTCCCCTTTCCAGCCCATCCTCCATGTCCCTGCCCTTATAACCTTCTTAATTTGAGGGTCACTCTCCCATCCCCAAACCTCCATTTACCAACAAAGTACAAACTCCTTAGTACAGTGGATATTTCAGGTCCTCCATAATCTGACTTCATTTTACCTTTCCGGCAGTATTTCCTGACTCTTCTTCACATCCTTTCCATCGCTGACAAATTGTCCTTCTCACCCTGTCTTGCTGCCATCTTTCCCTTGCCTCTGTTTCCACGCTTTTGCTGACCCATTCTCTGTTCCTGGAATGAACTCCTCCTTTCCTTCTGTTGAAATCATTCCCTTCAAGTCCCAGTTCAGGAGTCACTTCTTCCTAGATCTTTTCCCCAAGATCTCTTTCTCCCTCTAACTGGAAAGTGATTTTATTTCCCATCCCTAAGCTTCTCCTAGCATTTGGCATAGATCTCTCCCTCGTCCTTATTTTCAAATTTGTATTCTAGATATTTATGTCTTATTTACTAGGTTATAAGTTCCTTGTGGACAGGGCTTGACTGGGTCTGATTCCATCTTTGTGTTCTTAGTATTTAGCACAATACCTTGCATGTACTTAGTAAAGGTTGAATTTGAATCTTTGGAATCTTAGATGTCTTTAGTATGACCTAGGAATTTTTTGGTTATTTCATTCATTCATTGACATCACTATGTTGGAGTCAAATTATAGTGCATCAGATTGTGGCTAATCAGACCAGTACAAGCTTGGAATGCCATACTACAGGTGGGGCAAAAATAGTCCATGTGAACATTTGGGGTGGATTCTCTAAATGGGCGCATCTCGCTTTTCCTTTGAGCTACTTCAATTCTGCTTTGCTCAGAGAGCACAGCACCTTCTCTGCTGAGGGCACCCCAGGCTGGGTGGTCCTATGCCAGTGTCTTCCATGTCATGCAGTCAATTTGGTCTATCATTTCGTTGATATAGGAAATTCTTCAATGAGGAAACTCTCCCTGCCAATGTAGATTGAACACTTCCGTGCAGTTCATAGTCTTCAGTGCCTAGAATGTTGAGGGGTCACCCAGAACAGTATGTGTCAGAGGGATGCTTGTGCCAGGTCTGAACTTGCCTTCAATGCCTAGCATACAACATTGTCTCTCCTCAAAATGGATGTAAGTAGGGGAGCTAGGTGGCGCAGTGGATAGAGTTCTGGCCTTGAAGTCAGAAGGACATGAGTTCAGATCCAGTCTCAAACGCATGACACTTACTAGCCGTGTGATCCTGGGCAAGTCACTTAAAACCCCAATTGCCTCACCAAAAAAAAAAAGTGCAAAAAAAAAAATGGATGTAAGTAAAGTGGGATGGCCATTGTGACTTCTAAGCACATTCCAGGTACTTGATGAAAGGGTTCCCCTTTAATGGATTTACTTGCAAAATGGACATACATAGCAAAACTCTACTGTATCTCACGTAATCTCAGGAATTTCAACTAGGAGCTGCGTAAATTAAGGACAGATGGGGGCGACCATTTAGCAATCACTCTATATATTTTTAAAAGTTTAAATTTTCTGATTCTGAGTGTTTTTGGAGGATGATGGAGTTACCAGAACACCTGGCTTATGGAAAAAAATCTCATCTTTCCTTTGTTTACTTGGCTGCTCCCCAAGTCTGGGGGAAAGCTCTCTCTCTTAAGAGATTTCCTTTTCCTTTCTAGCTGTATTGAAAATTTGATCTTTGTTGTGGTAATCTACAGGAAAAAAATAAAACAAAACACAGTTTTCTCTTGTTAAGACATGTCTATAAAATCTTGTAGTAATGAAGCTTTTTTTCATTTTTTTTTTTAAACTCAGATGCATTTTATTGTGTTTTGGCCAAAAGACCTTTTTTGGTTCTGAATGCTCTGTGCTCCATCTGGGCTTCCCCCAGTCCTCGCATGGCTTCAGGTGAACCCTCTTCATTGTTCCACCCCCTCCCACACAGGTTTGAAAAATTCTTTTTCCCTCTTAACGCCCCAACCCTGGCTGCCGTTGGCTTGAGAGACTCTTCTTTTCCCGTGCTTATCAGGAATATCTAGATTGAGGTCTGTATATTCTTAGAATATTACATGCAGGTATGGATGTATATATGCCTGCTCAATCCTTCCCCTTACCCCCAAGGGCTTTCACCACGTGGCCCCAACCTGCCTTCCCAGGAGACAGTAACCAAACCAACCAAGCAAGGTACACAGGTAGAGATTACACGTGGCCAAGGGGCTCCTTCCAACTGTGCTGCCCTCCCTCCTCCCCTCTGCCTCTTACAGTCCTTCCCAAGCCTCCTTCCAAGCTCAGTGCAAGTACCCCATGAGCACCTCCAGTCGCTGGTGCTCTCTTTGTCCCCTAAAATTGCCATGCGTTCATTTTGATTCTGTCTTATATATACTTATATGTGTATGTGTTAACCTTCTCCCCTGCGCCCCCTCAGTAAACTGTATGCTCCTTGAGGGCAGGCATTGTCTCCTTTTTGCCTTTCTGTCCCCAGCACCTAACAGAGTCCCAGGCACATGGTAGTCACTTAATAAATACTCATTGATTGATTGAAGTCGATTTTCTGCAAACTCAGTTTGACTTCTTAAAGGAGAAGAGTTCCCTCTGGAGGAGATTGATTAGATAATGCATAAAGCCACAGTGCCTGGGAATGTAGCCAGGGTAAGGATGAATCTCCCCCTTGAGAAATAAATCATGCCCCAGAGATTTAGGAGGATTTTAATGTCTCCTCATATGAAGGACTCATTCCTTTTCCTTGTAGGAAGTACCTAAGACTTAAAAGGGACAATGTGTAAATGACCCTCTTCATAATCTGACTTTCACCCCGCTGTTCAACATAAGCCACCCGTTCTCAGGTCACCAGTGGTTTCCTAACCACTGAAGAACATTGATTTTTTTTTTTGCTTTTTTTTTTTTTTTTTGGTGAGGCAACTGGAGTTAAGTGACTCGTCTAGAGTCACACAGCCAGTGAGTGTTTAGTGTCTGAGGCCAGATATGGAACTCAGGTCCTCCTGACTCCAGGGCTGGTGCTCTATCCACTGCGCCACCTAGCTGCCCCAGAACACTGCTTCTTCCTAGGACCCTGGTAATCACCCAGGGCTGTCTTCTCCCTTGGTTTCTGTGATATCAGTCTCCTCTCGCCCTCTTCCTACCTCCCTGACCACTCTGTCCTGATCTCCTCTTAACACTCTGGGTTTGGAAATACCAAAGACTCTCTCTTCAGCCCTCTCTTTTCACTCTCTATTTCCTTTGCCCTTGGTACTTGCTTCAGGTATTCTGTGGAGATGATGTGAGCAATGGACACATAATAGGTGTTTAATAAAAGTTTTTGGAAGGAAGGAAGGAGGGAAGAGTGATATAAGCAGCAAGACAGTTCACCCTGGTCCTACCTGTTATAGATGACCTCATGCAGATAAACATTATCCAGCCTACAATAAGAGAGACTGAGGCAGAGGTCTGAGCCAACGGCACTTTATGAAAGGGTCCATGGTCCCTTCTAATGAAGCGGACCTCAGATCTTCCTCATGATCGGAGATGCCCCCTTCTTCCAGGGCCTTATTTTTATTGGGTTAGATATCTAGACATTCAAGAATGGCTATACCAAATACAGAATAATCCCGTTGGTTGAAGTAGGATACATAAGCTAAAACAAGCAAAATAAAATATCAGCAGGGTTATGGGTTGGGCAAAGCATGGGGTATATCCACTGATTAGATGGTTGTAAGATGGTCACCTGCTTGTGTTGGACGAGAGAGACTGGTCTGGATAAACAAACAAATAAATAAATAAATAAAAATAAGTTGGGGGACTTTCCATGTAGTTGAGTCACTGCCACACTGGGCTTGGTCGTCATGACAAGGAAAAACAAGGGTGGAGGGCCTCTAGTTAGCTTCCTCTGA